GCTCGAATGGCTTAAGTCATATCTTGGCAACAGAAGGCAGCTTGTGAGGATTGATACGTCTATGTCTTCTTGTAAGCCTATAGAATGTGGTGTCCCTCAGGGTTCAGTACTTGGCCCTATTTTGTTTCTGGTGTTTATCAACGACATTGCAAATCTGGACATTAGCGGTAAAATCTGCCTCTTTGCGGACGATACTAGTTTCACTTGGAGCGGCCCAGATGTTGCGGCGCTATATGATACTATATCCAATGACTTACGCACCATTAAGTCTTGGTGCGATTCTAATCTCCTATGCCTCAACCTATCAAAAACTAAAGTTTTGTCATATAAAAGTACTATACAACCTTTTGTACTTAATAACACTACTATTGACGTCGTGGACTCTGTGAAATTCTTAGGACTTCTTGTAGACAACTCGTTAAAATGGGACTCTCACATTGAAGCTCTATCAAAGAAACTAAGCGCTGCCTGTTTTGCGCTAAGATCAGTTTCTAAGGAACTTAACTTATCAACCTCTAGAATAGCCTATTATGCCCTTTTGGAGTCACATCTTCGTTATGCCCTTCCATTCTGGGGTACTTGCTGCGCAACAAAATTTGATCGTGTTTTCATACTTCAAAGGAGAGCAGTTCGATATTTATTGGGACTGAACAGTAGAAGTCACTGCCAGAATTTCTTTAAAAATTTGAAAATACTGACTCTTCCTTCTTTATTCATTTTTGAATCCGTTTGCTTAATCCGCAAGCACATATCTGCTATTCCCGAAAGGCCATCTCATAACTATCCACTTAGGAATGCAGAGCACGATCTTTATCTGCCAACCCCGAGCTCAGAACTAGTTAAGGGATCAATACTGTACAATGCCAAAAAAAATGTACAATCATCTGCCTTTGAATATCAAATCGCTTTCATTCTTTCCCGCATTTCGCAAGGCTCTAAAATCATACCTACTGGAGAGAGCCCTATATGCGGTAAACGACTTTTTTGTTGATGTTTGATTATGAACAATTTTGAATTTTAAAATTTTGATCATCTCACACACTGGTCAAAGGTCAAGTATTTAATATTCTATAATTTTAAAATTATATTTATTTCCTGCGTACTGTTCTAAAATTGTCCATGTATATTCTTTTTGTAATTTTAAAGACTTAAATTTTTTTGAATTGTATTATTTGTATTGTGTATTTTTTGTTGTTTGTATTTTTTTGTGATTTTGTTGTTTGTGAGTGCTTTGTCGATGAAGCTGTTTTGGCTTTTTGCACAATAAAGCGTTGTTTTGTTTGTTTTGTATACTAGAATAATAGGGACTTCATTTTCTTTTAATAATAACAGTCAATGATTTTATTGTATTATTATTGTAATGAACTTCATTAGTGTTTCGATTGTTGAATTCCCTAGGCTGTCCTGACCGGGCGGTGTGTGTGCGGGCTGCGCTCATCCGAACGGCGTACAAATCGCCGAGGCGTCGCAAACCTCAACGTCAATCCGGGACTCGCGTCTGTATCCAACGGGACGCTGTTAACTTCGAGGTCGATCCAGGACTCGCGTTTGTGTATCCCACGGGACGCTGTAAACTTCGCGATCGATCCAGGACTCGCGTTTGTGTATCCAACGGGATGCTGTTAACTTCGCGATCGATCCAGGATACGCGTGTGTGTGTCACGGGACGCTTTTAACCTCGAAGCCGATCCGGGGTCCGTATTTCGCTGTCAAAAAGGACACCGCTCCGATAAATACGTAGCTTTGACCATCGGGACGCCTGTAACGACGTCGCCGCCGTTTAGAGAGTCGCGTCGTGGTAGAGTCTGTTGCTCTGGTACCTACGTGTCTGTGATTAGGACGCCGCTAACTTCGACGCCGATCTGGAACTCGCGTCCTCTTGTCTAACGGAACGTCACTTCGGGAACGCGTCTTGTGTTCAAGTGATAGAGTCAGTCAGAGAGTTGCGTATTGGGAATAATCGATCAGAACTCTAGCGGTACACGGTTGTTATAGTAAATTTTGCTTTACGAGGTACTAAACATTTATTTTATTTTATTATTGTTACAATTCGAGAACGTAAACTCTCTTTGATTCTTGTTATACATAATTAATTGATTAAATAAAAACCTAGTGTTACGTTGTAGTTAATTGTGTGTTTTATTTTCTTTTCATCTCATCACTCCCTGGTATCTCCACTGTATAAAAGCTACCCGTACTGGCACTAGTGGTCTGTCAAACACTATAAACTTTGAGGGTGGCGCCCGAGAACCGTACCAAGGCATCTCGGCGTCTGTAAGCGTTCTCAAAAATGGAGAGAACCTCACAGTGTCAAATACTCGTCAGCGAGTAATGGAAGTAAGTAAGTAAGCACTACCATCTGACTCTGATAATATTTGCACTGGTAAAATCTACTATCTATCTATATATATATAAAGTAATCATCTTTATGTTCTCTAATTCAAACATTTATTTATTTTTAATGCATAATATGGTTGTTTCTTTGTTTCTTGTTATCAGTTATAACTGAGCTCTATTAAATTTTATATCAAAATTAGGTTTTCTGACGTTTTATGAATAAATATAATATGCAAATTTACAGTTACTGAAAGCATACGGAATTTAAATACAGTTATTAAACATGAAACATCAAGGTATTAAGATCCTTATAACGATTTCCACGTTTAACATTCAAAGTGCATTACCTCTAATTACCGCAAGTCATTCGAATTTTAGAGGTGGGAGTTAAAAACGTAAAGTTTCTAATAAAACAGCAGCTTCGATAGTCACGCAACAGCAAGAGAAATAACTAATGTAAAGCTTTAAAGCTGTTCGGTCGTGAATGAGTTATGAGTATTGTAAAGAATTTGATAGTTCTGTTCGAAGAAAGAAACAACTAATTTGTGTTAGCGTTACAGTGTTTGGAATAGTAATATTATTTCGGTAAATAATGTGGTAGAATAAGGAATAAAATATGAATATAAAGAGTTAATAACAAAAATAAAAATAAAAAGTGCATCATATATTATTGAATTATGAAAAAGTGTTGATATTTTGATGAAAGTTTCAAATACCCTGTAGAATATGGTAACAATGCAAGGAATTTAAAAATTACTTTATCGTCTAGGTGCGTCTTTTCCCGATAGTTTATTTTTTGATTCATCTCAATAGCTTTATTTTTGTTGGAGATATTCGTTTTTGAATAAGACAATAACGATTTCAATATCGAGAAAAGATACACTTTAATAATAAAATGATTTTTAAATTATTTGCGTTGTTAACGTACTTCACAGGGTGTTTCAAACATTCACCAAAATATCAACATTTTGCGTCCCCATCTCGTAGCTCTGGGTGCTTTTCATATTTGAAGGAATAGTATTTATGTCGTTTCAAAATTCGAAACGCTGTAGTGTGATCTATTCCTATTTCATCCTCAAGTTTTCTTGTGCTGATCTTTCCATCGTTCTCTTCCACGCACAATAAAACTTCCAAGTCGGTATCATTTCTTGCATCTTCTCTTTGTTCCTGCCTTGCTTCACATCTGCAGTTACTTATTAGGGTAGCTTTGGTCTCAAATCTCTGGTTATTCCTTGCGATTGTAGATTTTCCAGGTATCGGTATATTCGGATACAGAGCAGCAAACATGTCCGACACCTTTTGATAACTATTTTCTTGATAATACCATTTAATCATCAATACTTTTTCTTCGGTAGTGTAATTTCTGAAATGATAACTTCATTTAACAGTTGTCTTTTACCTTGACTGGTGCTCATAAGTAAATACAGGGCCATAAGAAAGTAAAAATATTTAAAAAGAAATCGGCGATAACTCGTAAAGTTATTCTTTTGAATGTGGGTTTTAGTACTTTTCAATAAACCTAAATAGAATTATTCTCTAGAATAATTAGGGAAGCCAATAATTGACCCCATTAAAATTTACATGGGATTTCCTATGTCCCGCTCGACGATGCAACACCCGGTATAGCATCAAAATTATTCTATAAAGCAAAAAGAGGAAAGAAACAAGCAACTCATTGTTGAGTTCGTCCATTAGGACACGTTTGTCCATTACAATGGTATTTTATCTAATAAAAAATACCGTTACCAAGTTCTAACAAATCTCTATTACGTTATTTTTATAATTTTTCCCCTGACTGTATATTTGTTTCACATAACTCATTTCTACTTGAATTCGAGTATTTTCTATCGAAGAAAAATCCTTAGAGAAGTTTCGACAAATAGAAATACTTGTTATTCCACCATCGACTTTACGAGAAATTCAATTACATTATTACGTCTACTTAAACTTCCACTTCGAGAATAAATATACATATTTCCGTACGACGACGTTTTTACGAATATTCAATTTTCGTCGTGAGAATACTCCATTTGGCTTATTTCGAAAATATCTTCTCATAATACAAATCCGAAGCCCGCCAGAATCGCATATGCGGTGGAAAAAGAAAACGCTCGTCCTCAGGTACGGGCGACAATAAGTTAAAAAGTATATATAGCTCGATTTATGGCTAGACGAGCAGAGGGGGAAATATAAGGGAGAATCTCGAGAGGATATCGAATTCAATATTTCGGACTTTTGGATTTGGAAATATAGCTCGCACGTATCTGGTCGTATAAAAAGAGTCTCATCGAAATCATAAAATATAAAAAAATGCTGAGAGTCTTACAACTCAGCTCTTAACTACAAAAAGTGAGATATAGCCGTTGACTGAAAATTTGACATTCAATTTTATAACCAAGATATTCGAAGCAGTCAAAATTAAAAAAAAAAAACAGACAGTTGCTGACAAAAGTTCAAAACTGAAACAATCAAAGCCCATTCGTGCAACTTCGTGTCGACAATTCGTCCCCCTAGAATAAGATTAGCAAACTAGGGCACTCTCTTGCCCTTGAGAGCAGAAATGATCTCAAAAGGCGGATGAGCTATACGATGACGAGTATGAGCCAACGGCATAGGATCAGGCAGGCAAGGGAAAACCACCTGATTATTATCCCATGAACACTATGATGTTACGTGACAATGGTATATGGTTGCCATGCGATCCGAGTAGCGACCGGCGCTTGACTGGGTTCGGGCCATCAAGTGTGAAATTAGCAACCGAGCAGACAAACGTAGGTGACCAGGCTTTGTCTGCATATCGAGTTACTGGAAAAAACAACAAGCTTCCTCAGAAATCCAAGATAAATATTGGTACGTGGAATGTCCGAGGACTCCTGAGCGTAGGGAAACTTCAAATATTGGAGCGTGAGCTGATGACAGCAGAGATGGATATATGTGGTTTGTCGGAAACACACTGGAAAGGTAAGGGACACTTTACAACTGCTGAACATCGGATTTTCGTGTCGGGCTCAGACAATGCAAGCCAGAATGGAGTAGCCATTGTGGTTAACAAAAGAATGGTACAATACGTGGACAGTTACCAAACCATTAGTGACCGCATTATTAAAGTCACCATCCGTACAAAACCTACTAACATGCATCTTATTCAGGTATATATGCCTACAACTGACGCAGATGACAAACAAGTTGAGGATATTTATCAAGAAATAGAACAACTAGTATCAGCCACACCCAAAAAGGAACCCCTAGTCATTCTAGGTGATTTCAACTCCAAGGTGGGAAAGTCAGCTGACAATAACAACCTACAAAATATTATAGGAATGTACGGACTTGGAGACAGAAATGCCAGAGGAGAGAGACTTATACAATTTGCAATAGACAACAATCTTGCAATAACAAATACCATGTTCAAACAACACCCTAGACGATTGTCAACTTGGACCTCACCCGATCAAAAAACGAAAAATCAAATTGACTATATCTTAATAAGCGGTAGATGGCGGTTATCTGTTACCAATGTTAAGACAAGACCTGGCATGGTATGTGGATCAGATCATAAAATCCTAGTGGCAAAGTTCCATCGTAAACTACAGGCAGTGAAATTGATCAAAACGAAAAGGTATTCAGTACCTACTAAAGAAGAAATAATGAAAACAATGAAATCGGTAAAAATGCCCACACTAAAAAATGACGTACAAGAAATGTGGAATGACACTAGGACTTGGATAAATGAAATAGTTAAAGGAAGTTGCACATCTGGAAACATTAAATTAAAGTCTAAAACTTGGATGTCGAATAATACGATCAATTTGCTTGAAAAGAGAAGAAACCTAGTCATATCAACAACATTTGACAAAGAACACAAACTAAGAAACATCAATAAAGAAATAAAAAACAGCTGTAGACAGGATAAAAACAAGCACGTCCACGAGATTTGCACAGAATTGGAAAGACACTCGGCAACTAACGAATCTAGAGAGCTATTCAATAAGGTAAAATATCTCTCTCGTGAGTTTCAACTACGTACACAAATTATACAGGATGAAAATGGTCGAAAGATTACTGATCCGGATGGTATTGTTGAAGTCTGGCGAAAGTACTGCACAAAGCTTTACGAAGATGGTGAATCTTCTAATAATAATAATCGTCCCAACCAATTCGAACATGACCGGAGATCCTTAAATCAGAAGTTGAACACGCCCTAAATCGTCTCAAAAAATAAAGCCCCAGGTATAGATGGTGTAGCTGCTGAGATATTAAAGTCAATAGGGCAACCGGTAATTGATGTTATTCATTTCATATGCAATCTGATTTGGAAGACGGGAATTTGGCCAGACGACTGGTGCAGCTCGCTATATATACCACTATATAAAAAGGGTAATCCGGCAGACTGCAATAACTATCGAATGATTGCTTTAATTCCTCATGCATGCAAAATTCTCCTGCAGATTATTAACAACAGACTCAGGCCATATCTACTACCACAGATTGCAGAAGAACAAACTGGCTTTATGCCTGGTAAGGGTACCAGAGAACAGATAGGGAACGTACGACAGTTAATAGAAAAAGCGCGAGAATTCAACATAGAAATGTATCTCTGTTTTATCGACTATTCTAAGGCCTTCGATCTAGTCAAGTGGCAAAAACTTTGGCAAATACTCAAGGAAATGGGGGTTCCTGATCACCTTATTCTACTTATCCGACAACTATACCAACATAATTACGGACTTATAAGAATTAATGATGTCACATCAAATAGATTTCAAGCAATGAAGGGTGTCAGGCAGGGGTGTGTTCTCTCACCCCTATTGTTCAATATTTATACCGAGTACATAATGCGTGATATTCTCGATAACTGGCAAGGTGGAGTATCTGTGGGGGGAAGGAAAATCAATAATCTAAGATATGCCGACGATACACTAATCATAACATCAAGTGTGGAAGAAATGGAATTTATTATGCAACGTCTCCAAGAAACTAGTACAGAATTTGGGCTAAAACTTAATCCTAACAAAACTACTGTCATGATTGTGGACCGACAAAACAACAACCAACCTCACGTGGGAAACATAGCTGGATTTAAGGTGGTTAATAAATACTTATATCTGGGATCGCTAATCGACAACAGCGGCTCATGCGAAGGCGAAATAAGACGTAGAATTGCGCTGGCTAGAACAGCCGTAACTAAATTAACTAAGATATGGAAAGATACAGCCATCACTAAGAACACCAAACTAAGGCTGCTGAACTCGCTTGTTTTCCCGATTGCTACGTATGGGGCGGAAACATGGACACTGAAGAAAAGCGATACCAGGCGAATAGATGCTTTTGAAATGTGGGCATATAGACGTCTGCTACGTATACCTTGGACAGCCCATCATACGAATGAGTCAGTTCTCCAAGAACTAAACTCACAACTCAGCCTCTCAAAAAAAATAAACCGATGTTTTCTGACATATATTGGTCACATTGCTAGAAGAACGGACTCTCACTGCAGCTGCTAATAGTCGAGGGAAAGGTAGAGGGAAAGCGACCACGAGGAAGATCACCCAAGAGATGGGTTGATCAAACTAAAGACCTAATCGGCCAAGGCCTTCATGAAACCGTCAGCATGGCTCAAAACAGAGCGGACTGGCACAATACGATAAAAACCGCTACAGGAACATCATAGTCACTAATCCCTCTTCAGGGAAACGGACCAAAGAGAGAGAGAATAAGATTGTTCTATAGACTATTTCGATGAAACTGAGAAAACAAAATTTAAAGTTTAAACTGGATATCTGTGAACACTATATACCAAAATGGTTCTATTAAACATATAAATTAAAGGTAATATAAAAACCTATCAAACATATGTATTTATTTTACTTTTAGAAGCTTTATTTAAAAGATATTAGTGATTTTAGATTTGGATATAGAACAAATGTGTCTATTAGCTGTGCACTGAGCCAATTTTTGGGATATAGAACAAAATAAGGGGATATAGAATAATATAATCCTCATTTTAAGCTGATTTATTTGTATTTCAAAATATTATTTCAAAACAAAATAACTAAAGTGGAAACATTAAGACATTAACTAAAAACAACATAAAAAAATAAAAACCTAAAATACAATAGTAGTAATTATTCATCTGCATTGTTTATTAAAAACTATTATTTTTTTTTCGCCTATTTGTTTGGTACCTATAGTGTTAGAATAACTTAATCAGATTTTAAATCTGAAATTTAACTTTCATTGGATTATTTAAATGTTTTTTTAGCTATCTCTAGTATTGATAGTATATAGAGAACGATTAAGTAGTCAATTGAGTTGAAGCAGCTGGTTTCACGAAATTCCAAAGTGTGAAACATTTGAATTTGCTAACCAATCAGGCAATCAGTGCTTTTCAAACGAACGATTGAGCAGTCATTTGAGTTGAAGCAGCTGTTTTCACGAAATTCCAAGTGTGAAACAAAATTTTAATTTTAGAAATTTCTAGAAGAACTTTAGGGTTTTGATGATCCGTGAGTGAGTCACTGTCGAAATTAAAGAATTTTTAGCCGATCATACCAACAGGTATGGTAGTCGTCCGTCTGTCCGTGTGTACACGATAACTCAAAAACCTCTAAACCGATTTTAACCAATTTGGCACAAAAATACTGTTGCACCCGAGAATTTGGCCATTAGTTTTTGGTGGGAGTGGGGAGTTGGTAAGGGTGTATGGGAGGGGGCTAAAAATTTTAAAAAATCGTACCTCCAAAATTACAGTATCTAGCGAAACGCGGTTTTCAATTTAAGATTAGGAAAAATATTTGCAACAAAATTTGTAATAACATAAAAATCAGTCAAAGTCGCAGTTTTTGAGATATTCCGTGTTGAGAACTCCAAACTCCCATGGGACGCGACCCCAGGTGGCGGATAGGAGAAATAACTGCGGACCAAAATTGGAAAAATTCATGAGTACAAATGGATCAAGGCAAATTGCAAAGGCAAATAAAATTGCGTTTATCTCATCAAGAAGATCGAAATCGACAAAATATCAAAAGACAACATTTAATCGGCATTAAACTGCTTACGCTATTTTGCTAACAAAAGAAAAAATTCAGTGGCATATATGCTTTTTTAGAAAAATATTCCACGAAGAAAATTATAATGAATCTGAAAAATATTAATATTTTAACACCCTGTAGCTACGAAACAAATCAGAAATGCACCTATTTTGATATGAAAAATAAATCTTATTTTTACGTGGGGAACCTCCCCACGAGAGATGCCACATGTTTTTTGAAACACCCTGTATCGTATGAAAAATCTGAATTTGTCTAATATTTTAAAATTAATTATTTTTCTAACACTAATAGATTCTACAAAAAAAAATAGGTTGTACTTCTTAATTCTGTAATCTCTTAACAACTTCAATGTTGCGCGGCTTACAAAATCCGTGTGGCTGTGATCCGGGGTTTAAAAAAAAACACCTACATTAATTCCTTTTTTTACCAAACACCAAAATGGCACAGAGAGAGTGTTTTCCATTAATGTCGAACACGAACAACTGCCGCGACAACTTTTTTTCCATTCTTAATGCCCTCGGCAACGCGTTTTCCTCATTCGTGATTCGTACGATCCATATAACACACAATACTTTAATTCCAGCGTCGGAACATTTCAAATTCAAATTTTAGAAAGTTTTTTGATGTATTCACTTTCTTCCTGCTCTGCCTGCTCTTTGACACTGCCTGTGAAACTCCAAAGACGAAAATCGATGTGGTAGGGGCATATACGAGTGGAATACTTAACAAGTTTCAGTGGTTTTTGTTACTTTGATTTGAATCGTTGAGAATACTAATTATAAAATAAAAGCTTCAAGTTTCGTTCAGAACCGAAATTAGTGGAATAGATTAGTGGTTTCAATAAGAAATAGAATTTTGTTCCTCTAATTTCAATGTCAGCATGCAGAACGTCAAAATTAGTAGTAGTCATTTTCAATTAGTAGAAAAAGTTAATAAACTTTTAACTTTTTTTACTAATTATACTTCAACATTTGTGACAAATGTCATTTTGGATTTTGGTTATCATCCGTTAAGAAAAATTGTGGTTATAAATCAAAAGTTGATTGTTTTATAAGCCAAATATTAGGCTTTCTCTATGGATACAGCAAGCTATTGCTAGGATATAGTATTAATTTCATTTGTGTTTTTTAAGACATTGTGAATAATGACCTTTGGTATTTTTTTACTTCACCTGACAGAAAATGCCATTCATTAAAACAAAACGCCTGCAGCCGTATTTCGTCCCCATCTCGTAGCCCTTGGTGCTTTTCAAAAAATTCGCAGTTGCAAAATTCGAAACGCTGTAGTGTGATCTATTCCTATTTCATCCTCAAGTTTCTTTGTGCTGAACTTTCCATCGTTCTCTTCCACGCACAATAAAACTTCCAAGTCGGTATCATTTCTTGCATCTTCTCTTTGTTCCTGCCTTGCCTCACATCTGCAATTATTTATTAGGGTACTTTTGGTCTCAAATCTCTGGATATTCCTTGCGATTGTAGATTTTCCAGGTATCGGTCTATTCGGATACAGAGCAACAAACATGTCCGACACCTTTTGATAACTATTTCCTTGATAATACCATTTAATCATCAATACTTATTCTTCAGTAGTGTAATTCATGGCTAATATTTTCGATGTAGAGTTTTTAGTAATAATAATAAACCACTAAATAGATAAATTTCTGAAATGACAACTTCATTTGACAGTTATCTTTTACCTTGACTGGTGCTGATAAGTAAATACAGGGCCATAAGAAAGGAGAAATTTTTAAAAAGAAATCGGCGATAACTCGTAAACGGGCTAATCAAAAATATCTCAAGTTATTCTTTTGAATGTGGGTTTTAGTGCTCTTCAATAAACCTAAATAGAATTATTCTCTAAAATAATTAGGGAAGCCAATAATTGACCCCATTAAAATTTGCATGGGATTTCCTATGTCCCGCTCGACGACGCAACACCCGGTATATCTATCGGGTCTCCCTTTCTTGAGATACTATTCAACATACAGCTTCAGGGCTTTAGCAAAAGCCAGTATCTGAGACGGTTTTATGGGGGTTAGTCACCATCTCCAATTTCAATCATACCAAAACTTTTGGCTTGAATGTCGTCTCGGGGCTACAGTGATGAGTGGTGTTTTCCCATTTTCCCCATTTTCCAGACAGCATCTGCATTTG